GTGCAAGTATTTATTGACCCTTTATCTCCCTCTTCTTTCCTTCAGGGGCAGGAGAGAGAGTCTGAACTCTGAGCAGGATCCTAATCAGACTGCAGGCACCATGAGCTGACGACTGTGACATCTTGTGTTTTTTTTGTTTTATTTTTTGCCTACGTGGACATATGGCAAGGTAAAGGACAGAGAACAGCCTCTGCGAGAGCATTGATGTGTGAGAATATGTGCTTTAATGTGAGTCCACAGTGTTTATAGTGTTTTTTCGTCCTCCACAGGATCACGTTTTCCTGCCTGCCGGCCTCCTGGTACTGCAGCGTGTCCCTGTTGTCTCTGGGCTGCGCTCCCAGGCAGAGGCTGCTGCTGCTCCTCTTCATCACTTCTGCCGTCCTCCTCCTGGGAACCTACCAGAGTAAGCTGTGGGGCCCGCAGCGACGGCCCGGGGCCCGAGTCAACATGTGAGTAGACCCATTCACTGAAATTGCTGCAGGTGAAAAACGTCAGGAGGAGGCGAGTTCTGAACGCAGAGGCAGTCCGGCCCTGGCTGGAAGTTTATAGTGTAACTGTTAGTGTGCTCCTCAGCTGATAGATTTGAAGTTTATTTCCTTTTCTTTTGCCCCTTTCTGTCACTCTGCAGCTCTCACTTTCGATTAAAGGCAATAAAAGCCCCCACAACTATCCAACAACAACACCGATTTCAAAGTCAAATGTTGTCCTTTTGGTGTGATTGGCTGTTTAATGCAACCCTCCCCCCCCCGTTCCTGTGAACCTGACAGTTTGACTGGAAAACTCTTGTTAAACAGCCAGCTGATAAAAGCTTAAAGTGCTGTGAACTTGCATGGTGAGAGCGACTGCAGGTGCTTTCTTTTAGTAACAGGACAGATACAGATACACTGATGGTTACTACGAGTTAAAGCCGCTCTGTGGTTGTATTTGCAGCTGGTTCTGTGCATTTCTCACTGTCTCTTAGTATGTGTTTCTATATATTTAGTTTATAGACATGCAGTGAAAGGATTTGATCCAAAGCACCTTACAGAACGCTGGATATATTTAGTGTTGGTGTAGCCTGAAGGAGCCTTTGGTCTGGTGTTGTTGTTTAGTGAAGGACCCGAGATGCGTACTGCCTCAATGACGTACAGAATGTTCTCGGCCACTTATTCCCGAGTCATGTTTTGATAGTCCTGCTTATTGAAAGTGGAAGATACAGAGGTGTCAGTGAGGTTATTGTGAATTGAATGAGGTGGAAAATAAAACTCATGTTCTTCTCTCCTCTTCTTCATATCGTGATTCGTGAAGTTTATGTTCCAGATTGAGCTTTAATTTAATCATTTTTTTAACATTGCTTTTGCATTTTCTTAATATATTTATGAAGCACTGAATAGTCAGATCATACAAATCACACTTAAAGGATTACAGATTATTTATGAACTGAAAATGATATACACGTCTTTAAATTACATGAGAAGATGTATATTTGTTTAGTTTGAGTTATGTCTGTTTTAAATGTGTGTATTATGTTTTATCTTGTAAGGGTTGCATGTATGTATTTTAATATCTCCTGGGATATATATATATATATATATATATATACTTTTTGTAGTTGTCTGAGGTTAATATATTGTGCCGTTAGATGCTGGTGGGTTCACGTACTGGAATGTTTGGTTTGTTGGTGATGAATGTGTCTGAATATTTCCATGAGGTGTGGGTCATGTAGATTTCCAGACATGAAAATAAAACCATTCATTCCCACGCTTTGTTCAAGTACAGCATATAAATATTGTTTCTCACAGTGTTTCTGCGTTCTCTCCTTCAGGTACCTGTCCATCGCAGAGTCCATGGAGGCCACTGACGTCCTCAACCCTGCTCTGAATTATGGGATCGTGGTGGACTGTGGCAGCAGTGGCTCTCGGGTCTTTGTGTACTACTGGCCCCCCCACAACGGGAACCCTCACACCCTGCTGGACATCAGACAGATGAAGGACCGCGACCGTAAACCAGTCGTCAAGAAGATCAAACCTGGTGAGGAAGTGTAAGGTGTACGGTTTCTGAAGCGCTACTGTGAGGCTCTCGTCATCGTTATCTTCTGACTCCAGACGTGGAGCAGAGGCAGGGTGAATTAAGCCCCTCAGTGGCTGTGCCTTTAATTATGCATAACTATAACCCTCAATATAATTCAAATGGGTGAGTTACATTAAAATGAACCCCCTGTACAGTTGTCACTAACGGGGAAATTAGCTATAGAGACTGAAACCTTTTTTGAACCAGACTGTAAACATTTGAATACAGAGCCTTATGGAGATTGACTCACTTCTGGAACCAGCCTCAAGTGGCCGTTTGAGGACATGTTGGTTTAATTTGCCAACCACAGAGGTCACCGCCTGGTCATATATTGTTACACACAAACGAACCAATAGGCAGACAAAGCGTAGCTCTCAAATCTGTATATTCGTGCATGAATGTTTCTACTGTCCTCTGTGGACAACTGTAACTCCTTTGTGCGTTACAGACTAATTCTTTCCACTGCATTCTGGGAAAGAAAATGGAACAGTCCAGCCAAGCCAAAAGCAGCAACTCGTAGTTTCTCGTTTTTTTTTTTAATGATTTCAAACCAAAATTGAACCAAAATTCTATGTTTCGTGCAAATTTGGTCAAACGTCATCTCTAAAACTCTGTGCCAATGGTGCCATTGAGACCCAGACAAGTGATCGGAGAGATCATTCATGGACAACAGAGAGTAGGAGGGAGGAGAAGTAGTAGAAAACATTACTCTGTAGCTGTTTTTCTTCATATAATAAACTCACTGATTAACGAAGAAGAATTTGTGATGACGTTAGTTTGTGAAGTGCAGTCTTTAAGTCGTGTCAGCAGAAAGGACCGTGTGACTTTGTCTTATCTCAGTCACAGCGGACAGATTAGATACACTATGTTTGTTCCAGGAGCGGCAGTTAAAGGCCATGTGGCTCTTTGAACCATGGGACATTGTGTGACAGTGTGGGTTAGAATTGGATTAGTGAGATATTGCAACCGTGGAGTCAGTGTGTCGGCTGATCGGTAACAAAAAAGAAATGCCAAATCTATATTTTGTGTTTGAGTTAGTGATAGTAATAGTACATCACCAAAGAGCAGTGACAAGTTGATTTTTCCAATTCTTTTTTGTTCAAAAGTGAATATGATCAAATATATTGTTGTCTTAAATATACTAACAATATTTAAAGTGGCTATAATTGATATTTTTATGATAACAATGTATCAGTGACAATGTGAAAGTGGTTTGTCAGCTT